CTAGAGACCAGAGACTCCTCCCGGCTGTCTCCTCCTAGCTTACTGTGCCCACCCTCTCCTCAGCCTCCAGCATGACTGTCTGAGCAAGCAGAAAGTGGTATGAAACAAGCAGGCTAGCCAGGGTAGAGCATAGTTTGCCTGACCACCCTTTGCCTGAATCGTTACATACAGAGAGGCCCTTACTTTGTCCACACGGTGAAGAGGAGCTAGACTCTTGCATAGTGGTTCCTCCACATCATCCTCTGTGGCAGAGCTGACCCAGTAGTGCCTAGGTGTCTGAGGAGAGATGGCACATCCCACTCGTGAGCTGTTTCCCATACTCCAGTCTTATGGAGTGCCTCTGATGTCATATAAAGGGCCCACAGTGACACGAAGCAGAGAGGACAGCTAAGCTGACACAGCACAGGCATGCAACCCATAGGAGATAAATTTAAGCAAAATCGCCCCGATCGGGCCCTTTGCCCTTCTGGCTGTTTCAGAGGGCTGGAGCATAGGAATGTGTCCCCAAGGCAGTGGCAAGGAGTGGTTTTCGTTACAATGAAGGATCTGAGAGGACAGAGGCAACGTAGCTCAGGTCTACCCTGGCACTCATTCTCCATGTTCTTGGCTGCTCGCTCACCCTGGGATGTTCTTGGCTCTCCCAGGCATTGGTACCAACTACAGTCCTCAGCACCAGGCAGATTGCTTTCTGCGTCCCGTCAGCTATGACATAGATGAGAAAACGGAGGCTGAGAGCTGTCTTGTGGACACTAGCTAAATTCAAAGCCACAGACAGCTGAAGCCTCCATGATTGGGATGGGTCACCCTGAGCGGGAGTGGGAGCTCTGATTCTCCCAAAGGAGAACAGCCGAGGACAGGCCACCTCCTGCTACTCTGTAGAACCCAGCTTAGGAACAATGCGGCCTCTATCTGGAGCAGTTCAGGCCGCCTGGACTCCAGGCCCCTCAGAACGGCATGGCTAGCCAGGCAGTCACAACATGGCGCCAGGGCCACCCTGCCCATCTACGGAACTGGCTGTTGCCTGGGCTGAGGCTGGGCTGGTGCTCCAGGCTTCCTCAGGCTAGCTGCTGAGTGGTCAGGCACTGTGGCATCCTCCCTCCTCTCCCCGTCGTCCAGCCCCCGCCTTTTTTTTTTGGTGGTGGGTTTGGGGGCCCAGCCCACCCGCCTCTGCCACGTCTGCCATCCTCCAGGCACCCACGAGCATCTTTCGAAAATTCCTGGTGGGCGGGGCAGAGCTGTAGCGGCCGCCTCTGCCCCCCCCCCCTCCCTGGGAGCCAGTGCCAGATGAGAGAGAGCAGGAGACAAAAGTAGCATTTTCCTCGTCCTCCTAGGCTGGCAGCCGGGTTTTCCCCCAGCGCCACTTGCTCCTGGCAGTCCTAACCCCGAGTGCCAGAGTGGCCAAAGCCCAGGCCAGGACCTACGGTCTGATGGACACCAGAACCCAGGAGGCCCACAGGCCTATCCGACAGAGGCTGGCACCTGGGCACGGCCTGCTGGTTGGCAGGAGCCCTCTTACCCAGCCAGGGCAGGGGACAACATTTTCACTTGCTGGCTTTTGAGAAAGTGACCCTGTCCTCCGGTTCCTGGTAAGTGACCTTCTCCCCTTCTCCTGCTTGGGGATGAGCCGAGGGCCCTGCCATCTTGTGCTCTGTGCCTGCTATGTCTGCTTCCCTCTAATTGGCTTAACCCAAACCCCAAATTCTATTTCAGAGACACCCCCCCCACCCCACCCCAATCCTGAGTGAAGCAGGCACTGCCAAAAACTGCAGGGAAGAAGCAGAAGCCAAGCCATTTATTTTTAAGATCCAAAGCTAGGGCTTTCGAAATGATAATGATAACACACGGTTCGGTATTTCACAGTGGCTGCGTGTTCTGTTAGGAGCCGAGTGAGGGCTGGAGAAGGCATCAGTCGGCAGACTACCCCCCCCCACGCCTTGTGTCATTTTGTCGTTGAAGGGGGTCTCAGTATTTCACTACCATTTCTTTATTTTTATTTTTAAAATTTTGGCTGTACTGGGAATAGCAGAGAGGGAAAACCCAGAACCATCGTAGGGTCCTCCAGCAAAGGGCACAGGCAGGCCCAGCCACACACAGGAGGGAGGACCTTAATGTTCAGAAACAGAGGCTCTTTTATTCTGTCTCAAATCCCTAATGCCACCATTCCCACAGTTTAGGGATTTAGTTCTTTCTGCCTTTCATTTCGTTTTTATTTTTTAAATTTTTTATTTTAAAAAGAAGAAAGCTTTTCTTGGCTTAACAGCGCAGTGTGGGTAATATCTGGGGGATATTTTACACTCTGCTTTTAAAGCGCTTGTTTTTAAGGTTTTTCTTTTTTTTTTTTCTTGTTTCTTTCTTTCTTTTTCTTTCTTATTTATTTATATATTTTTTTATTTTGCGGAGAGGATCTACCTCACAGTAATGTGCTCAGCCTGTAACCACCTGGCCAGGATGGGCAAGAGGTGCCCATGGACTCCAGCCACCAGGCAGACCTTTGGAGAGCACCGAGTGGTCCCCAGGTCTGTCTACCCCCTGTCCCACAGTAGTTCTTCACCTGCAGAGTTGTGCCCAGGCACACAGAGTCTAAACTGTGGCTAATGGAAGCAGGAGCCCCTGAAGATCTTTGTGTAGCCCGTCTGTCTATGCTGCCCACGAGCTGAGTTAGTGGCCGTCTGAGTTTAGTCCCAGGCCCCATCCTTTATAAAAAGGTGACATTTGCAGAGCCCAGCTGCCCGCTCACCTCCACCCCTCTGGCAGGCTGACAAAAGCGCCCTCGACCACAGCCTGGTTCCCTACTTGAGAGTAGCTGGGGTCTTGATTTATGGGAACCGGGAAATCTAACACAGAAAGTTCCACTGTGCAGGAAGAGGAAAATTCCCAAGTACAGACATCTTTGTTTCCTTAGTCCAGAGGCACATGGGCTCTATGTGTCCGGGGTGCTTGGCTGCAGCAGCCGCCCGCCCGGAGAAGACTCCACCAAATATGAAAATGGAGCCCAACCCAGCTGCTTTTGTTCTTACGCTAGGCAGCAGTAGATACCATAGGGTTTGGGGCTGCGGAGACAGGCATATAGAGCTGAGATAATTAAAACATTTTCACGATTATGACAGCCACATTCTGCTGCTGCAAGCTGGAGGATTCATTCCACCCAAATATTTAGCAAGCATCGGATAAAACACTAGTGGCAAAATAAAAGTAATAGGGGAGGAAAAAACCTCACAGCGCAATATATTTCAAAGGCAAAAGCATGTCAAAAGAGAGAATTAGGCAAGAAAGAGAAGGGAGGGGAGGCTAGCAGCTTGAAAGAATTTGCTTTTTAATCGCTGTCCAGCCCTCACCTGTTGTTGTTGTTTTAATAATTAATGTAGGTGAATAAATCTCCAATTCTAAGTTCTGGATGGATATGTGGTAGAATTTCCTAAGTGTTAAATCATCTTCTTTTTGGACAAGGTAGGGAAAAGCAGCAGAAAAAGAATTCATATAAATATCTGTGTGGTGAAATTAGTACCTCCTTCTCTGCATAAATCTACCCGCTGCTCTTAGTACATGTCTGTCACACCATCCTTATTAGTATGAGATTGTAAATGTCCAGTTGCCACCTTAAGTTTTGAATTCTATTAGCATCAGACCCCCTGCCCCCGAAATGTAAAATGTCAGATTGTTTTCTTTTTTAAAATGGGCAAAATCTCAACACTTCCCATGGCACCCAATATTTTTTGACAGTATTAAAAAAAAATAGAAAGAAAGAAAGAAAGTACTAGGCAGGGCACTTTCTACATCATTGCCTCTATATAAATTCCACTATAGACAGAAATTATACATTCTCGAGGCACAGATGGGCTGGTCTGTCATTACCACTGCCTGGTACTTGTTGGAACACACGGCATATTTTAATTGTGGAGTCAACAATTTCGAAGAACTGAGGTCAAAATAAACACGATGCATTTGTGTCAAGAAGCAGACTTATCCCACGATCTTCTGGAAGGGCTGGTGGAGCACCGTCACTTTGTTAAATTTTGTTCAAGTTTTGGTCTCCGCATACACGTGTGTGTGTGTGTGTGTGTGTGTGTGTGTGTGTGTGTGTGTGTCTGTGTGATTCCTTGGTGTGTATAGGCATTTGCATACGATGGCACACATGAGAGAGTCAGAGCACAGCTTGCAGGAGTCGATTCTCTCCCTCGACCACGTGGCTTCCAAGAATTGACTTCAGGTTGTCAGGCTTGGTGGGGCAAGCTCCTCACCTGCAGGGCTCACCCATCCTAGTCTCCGTCTTTCAAGACTCCAAATGCCCCGTGTCAAAGGTCCTTGCGTGTTTTACTTAATTACCAATTTCTACCCTTGTTTCGCTGTGTGAGCACCCTATCTATACCCTTAAATTCCAACTCATGGAGCATGGAATTTATTAATATCTTATTCACTAGAAGGAAGTTGGGCCTCTGATTCTTCTGGGTCGACGTTCATGTCATAATTTTGAGACCCGCCTGCATGGAAAAAGAAATCAAATAATAAATATTTCAAATGGTCAAAAAGTACATTTAAGTCCAGACTTGAAAAAAAATGTAGTGGGTCAGTTGCACAGAGTAGGTATAAATTTAAAATATATATATTTTATATATATATATATATATATATATATATATATATCTCAGCAAGATAAGGAAGCGCAGAATTTATTGGGCTGTATCAACACACTGGAGGCCAGAGGTTTTACAGCCGTAGTAATTTGCAGACGATGATAACTGCTTATTTTGGGAGTTGTGTACATGTGATGATGTAATCAGCTCTAAGCCACACTTTCTCCCCCTATCCCATGTGTTCAGCACTGACCTCTGTACTTCTGGATTCAATCGCTGTGTTCCCTGCCTGTAGAGAGCATTTGAGGCTCCCGCTTTGGGAGAGAGGCAGGGAAAGGGGTCTAGCCCCCCACACCCATCCCCGGGAGCTCCAGCCCTCTGAAACCAATTGTTAATAGAAGTCCTTTTCTGTGGTTTGTTTATTTGAAGGCTTGTACCTGTTGGTGGAGATCTTAGAGAAGAGTGGAGATAAAAAATTGATGAAATCCGCCACAGCTGGCTGGGTGTGGTGAGTCTGAGTTTTTAACCTCTCCATCTTTTCCCTGTGGGTCCGTCAGTTTGTCAGCTGCAGCCTCAGAGACAGAGGAATGTATGGCTGGGCTGGCCACCGTAAAGGCGGAGGCAAAATGAGAGGGTATCTGCAGTGTTGTGTCAAGCGTGGACATGGCCTCAGGACCGCTTAGGTCTGGGACACAGGGGCTTTTCACTGTTGGAAGAGCACATGCTGGGGGTGTGGGGGATGGGAGTGAGCTGAGTTGGGCTGACTTTGTATTCTGACTGTTATGTCGGTTCACTTTCTGAGCCTCGATTTCCTCAGTCTGTAGAATGGGAACAGAAAGCAGAGGCCTAACCCCAAACCAGAAAGCTTAGTTAATGGAGTGTGTTCTGTAGCAATCACTCCTTCCTTTGGAGAGGTGGGGGAATCAGAGAGATTCAGGCAGCTAAGCAGTTAGGTCAAGAGTCAGGCCCCACTGGGCTTTTCTCCAGGTCCCCGTGGGCCAGCTAAGGTTTTCACTAGTATGTGCCCCATACATGTACAGGTGGAACATGGATGTACAAGGAGGTCTTTGAAGAGATACGTGAACAAATACACATGTGAGTGACCTGTACAGACATACATAGGTTTCTGTAGTTTCCCACTCGCTAGCATTCCAGCTTGGCCCAGGTACCAGTATGAGATGGGCACTTTTCACCAAGACGAGCAGTGCCTTTTAGATTTTGTCCGTCCTCTTCTTCAAGTGGACTGTGAAGCCTTTTGTACACCCTTGCAATCACTACAGTGGACAGCCCGTCAGGATCCCTGGGGGCCAGAGATGAGCCTCCTTTCCTAGACTGGGGGAAGCTGAGGCAGATGGGGGTGGGATACAGTCGGTCCCAGAACAGAGATAGTCATAGGTACTCACCAGGCCCAGGAAAGGCCCAGGCAAGGCCTGGACTGCCTTCCTCTTACATGGATGGACAGTTCCAGGCGCCGGCCATTTTCAGACCTGGAAGAGTGAGAGTGAACCTCAGGGCCCAGCAAAGGAAATGGCGGGCCCGGAGCGGGAATCTGGGAAGGCGGGCCGAGGGCGGGGAATTGCTCGGAAGTCCTGCTTCTGCCACTGGTCAGCTGCTAGGGGCCTTCTTATAAGGAACCACCAAAAGGGCTGGGCCTTTCTGGATAGGTCTGTGTGTGCCTATGTCGCATGCATGCTGGACCCGGGGCAGGGCTTGCTTGTCAGAAACCTTGTACAACTGAAGGGTCGGATGAGGTGGGACAGAAGCGTCATGACCCACTTTCTGACAGGCCTTGGAGCTTGGTTTTTAAAAAGAGGGAAGCAACATCAGCTCAGACCGGGAAGGAAGCTCATGTGAGTGTTTTACTGGGAAGCCTGTGAGTCGTCGGCTTTCTTAACCTTATTGTGAACTAGTTGGAAGATCTAGGAAGCCTGAATTTTTAAGCAAGGTCACGTCAGCCTCCATTTTTCCCCTCTCTAAAAGGGAGGACATCAGACACATAGATTAAGTATCTGTGATGTCATGGGGGCATTTGGCTACATGTGGGGTGGCCGAATGGTAGCAGTCGTGGGTGGACCATGGGAGAGAGTCATTAGCACTGAGCCTTTGGACTCTAGGCTTCTGAACTTGGGTAAGGGGTGCAGGCTTGGAGCAGTGGTGCTCAGGAGGCTGCCTGGCCACACCAGTATGTGCTGGAACCTCTGGCCCAGTTTCCTGGGTGCCCAGCCCTGCCCAGGATTCCTGGGGTGGGTGTGGCTATGCTTCTGGCTCGGGCGTGGTTGGCGGGATCCCTGCTCTTGCCCCGCCAGGGCTCATGGGATGAACCTCACCTGAGCTTGGGCTTTCAAAGTCCCAGTTAGTCACCTATTCTGCGTGCCAGGTGTTAGAACATGGCACCTTCTGATAGACCTAACACAGCTGCTGTCAGAGGTCCCAGAGGCAAGGAGACACACTCTAATCATCCTGGGCCTTTTCTGTGAACGTAGACTGAGCCTCCCAAGGCCAGTACATTGGGACACTCGGCACCTGAGGGGTAGGGTGCGGGGGCTCTCAGGCCTGTATCCAGTGTACTCTAGCACCCTGAGTAAGTTCTGCCCCTGAGACAGGGTCGCTCTTCAATAGATGACCCCCTGGGCCATCCAGCTGAGAGGCCAATGCCAGGTACCCGAAAGTGAGCACCTAAGGCCAAGCATGTAAGTAGGACCTCAGCTAGGCTAGGTGTCAGGATAGCAAAGGAATGGTCACTGTGGTCAGTGTCCAGCTGACAAGAGAGGGGATAAGACCAGGTGAGCAGGCCCAGTTAAAGACTTCCATGGCTGAAAGTCTTGGCCCAGGCTAGAGCTCAGCCATAGTTGGCTCTTCCCAGAGAGCACGAGTACAGGTTACATACCACAAACAGGTCTTATTCTGTGTGACCAGGAGAACTGATTTTTGCAGAGTACCTACTAAGTGCTGGGCCCAGACTGAGACTTGTCAAGCATTTTAAAACACAGCCACCACTTTTGTTTCAATGTCTCCAATCCCGTTCTGTCTCGACATCTGACCAGAGCCCATGCTGAACACATTAGAATGTGGAATAAGCAGAGCACAGTTCCTGCCCTAGAGAGAGAAGTCCCCGTCTAATGAGTGCTGGATGCTAACTTTTCTATACAAGCAGGTCAAGGTGCAGAGAGGCCGGCAAGCTTTGCCACAGCCACAATCTGGCGTTGGACCCCGTTTATTTTCTGCCAATTGGAGGCTGACTTTGGCTGGTTTCTCCTTAGACACCCAACACCAGTAAGGATCTTTCCTTTGGCCTGGAATACTGCTGCAATGAAAAAGGAATTGTCCTGAGGGTCTAGGCCATGGAGGTTTGGGGTTGCTAGAGACTTCTCTGACAGACCTACCATCACCGCTATGCCGGAGTCTGTAGGCTTGAGTTTTCTGACGGTCTTCTGACGGTCTAGGATACTGCTAGGATACTCAGGGTTTCCATATCTATATGGTCTGATGTGCTGTGGACCACCCTCAGGGAAGCAGCGAGAGATGAGGAGGGAGCGTGGTGTCACCGTTGTTCCTCCATGGCCCTGAGGCAGGGAGCTAATTGGAACTGTGAGCCTAGATGCTGTGTCCTAGGTCATGGTGGGCTGGCTCATAAAAGGCTAGTTCTTCATGGTAAGTGTGTCAACATACAGAAGGAGGGAGACTTCTAAGAGTCCCATTCAGCTGCATCAGTTGGTGTGGCCTACGTGTCCCCAAGCCCACAGTTTTGCGTATCAGAGTGGTAGGGAGCTCCCTGAATTCTTCAGGGCCCCATCACAGGTTTTAGGCCTCGTAGCACACCAGGCCAAGTACGCCTGTGGGAGGAGAGCGATTAGCACCATCCAGAGTACAGTAGAGGACCATGTGGTGCTCCAGCCTTCCCCCGCACCCCTAACACACTTTACAAGTACCAGCAGGCCCGAGGCACACAGAGCATCTACATGGCTGGTATGACAACTACAGATATCTTCAGGAGGGCCAGGTTCCCACTGAGATGCCGTGGGCCTACTCCCTTCTGAGGAGGCTCAGGTCTTGGGTTTGGAGCACCTGAAGAATCCAGGAGACTTCCTGGAGGTGGTGGACTGACAGCCCTGGGCTCTTCTTTAAAGCTGACCGCCACAGCTATGGCTGCAAGGCCCCGCGCCCAGCCCTACTCCTGCCACGTCCCAGGGCTCCCTGCCAGGCGCCACCCCCCCCCACCAGCCCTGAACAGGCCACATCTGCTGCAGCAGCCACGCCAGAGCTCCACCTCCTATCCTGTCCCCATGGAAACCAAAGGGGGGGGCAGTTAGCCACTGACTGGTTTCCATTAGAGCAGCCTGCTTTTCTGGAGCCCTGCCCCTGAGCTTCAAGGCCTCCCCAGAGACCTCTTCCTGCATTTGCTGAGCACCACTCGGTCTATGCCAGGGAGCCCAAGGGTCCCAGCCCTGCCCACACTGGCCAGCTTACATCAGGGAAGTATCAGGTGGGTTCAGAGCCCTGCCAATCACTAGGGATGCTTTGGGCCAGTTATGGTGTCAGGACTTGATCCTTCCTTACTCCCACCACACAGATTTTTGTGGCCCAGAGAAGCTGTGACCCAAGACAGTCCTGCCTGGATTCCAGAACTCCCACCCAGTCATAGAACCTATGGGACCTTAGACCCCTTCAAGTCTCTGGCCCTTGGCTTACCGTCGTCAGCATGAGGGGGTTAGCAGGTTTCCTGTGTCCCTTGTAGTTGTACTTAAATAGGAAGAGAGGAAGAGGAAGAAAGGAGAAAGAAAAATGGAGTCACACCAATGTTAGCTCCTCCAGGTGTCCAGGCTACGGTTTTGTTTGCTTTCAGAGAAGGGGGTTTTAAAGGAATCTTGGTCATGGAATGTATCTGAGACGGTAGTTAAAGAGGCTGTGCATGAGCCAGCCGGAGTCCTTAGCATCTGTTTGGCACCCAGTGACCTAGCTATGAGTGCAGCAATAGAGAGCTTCAGTCCTGCCAGAGGGCTCTGCAAACAACTGAAGAGGTCTCCAGAGGTCAGAAACATAGGCCTAAAATGGGATCCCACTTTTAAAAACTCAGTGGGTTCATCCCTAGGGAGGCAGGGAGGCCTGGGAAAGGGATACACACATGGTGGGTTTGCGTAGTTCACCTGAGGCTTGTTCGTATCTGTGACAGCTTCAACCCGGCCTTTACGCTGGTGGCATGGTAGCACACCACCCTCCTCCTTCATGGAATTACGAAGCTGCATTAGAGAGTATGGGTGTATGCACTGGCACTGGCTCTGGGGGCAACTTTTGAGCAGCCTCCAAACAGAAAGATTGGCTCCCGGCTGCTTGTGGGGGGCCATCACAGGTACTGGTACTACTGAGGCTACTGCACCAGGACCGGAACTGCCAGTCAGCATCAGATTAAGTCACCTAAGCCACTTGCATTGCCTTCAATGCCTCACTGTTGGCATCTGCAGAATGGGGACAGTGACTCAGACTCTGTGTGAGAGCTAGGTAAGAAGAGAT